AATGATACTGAGTTATATATTTGAAAGTTGCTAAGAGAGGAAATCTTAAATGTTCTCACCAACAAAAAAAGAAATGGCAATAGTGTGATGGGATGGAGGCGTTAGCTAATACCATGGTGGTAATCATTTTGCAATATAAGTGTATCAAATCAACATGTTGTACACCTTAAACTTACATGATGTTATATGTCAATTCTATCCCAATAAAGCTGGAGAAAAAAAAAAGAAATACTGAGCACTATGTTGTACACTAGGAACTAACAGTGTTTGCGGGTCAATTACACTTGAAAAACAAACAAACAAATAAACAAACTTATAGAAAAAAAGATCAGATTTGTGGTTATCAGAGGTGGAGGTTGTGGGGTGGGGGAATTGGATGAAGGTGGTCAAAAGGTACAAACTTCCAGGTATAAGATAAATAAGTGCTGGGATGTAATATACATCATGATTAATATAATAAACTCTCTTGTATGTTATATGAAAATTGTTAAGAGGGTAAATCCTAAGAGTTCTTATTATAAGGAAAAATATATTTCTATTTCTTTAATTTTATATCTATATGAGATGATAGATGTTCACTAGATTTATTGTGATAAATCATTTCATGATGTATGGAAGTCAAATCATTATGCTGTACACCTTAAACTTATACGATGCTGTATGTTAATCATATCTCAATAAAATTGGGGGAAAATGGCTTTAGTTTGGGAAGCTCTAATTTGAAGTTATTCTTCATGGGTGTACTATTTATCAAGGCCAGTTGTCTTTTAATGTTATTATTGTTTTCATAACATCTAATCTATGTACAGGAGAAGCCTTTTAATTCTCTATCATAGAAATTTGGGGAAAGGGGCATGCATCCAGCCCATCAATAGATATTTCAAGTCCTCTGCCTTTAAATTGGTTATGTCTTCCCAAGACTGGGTTTTGTCCCTTGAGCTGATGTAAAGGTCACTTCCTATATTTGTGGGGCTTGTCTATGGAGGCCATAGGGGCTCTGCCATAGCTCAGGGGGCTAATTCTGCACTCCCAGGCCCAGGATCCCTAAATACTTTCCCTTAGAGACTGCCAAAGAGTATTGGGATCTTATGTTTGTAAGTTGACCTATCCCTCACATGGGAGCTGCTACCCAATAAGCTTCATTCCTACATAGAACCCTCCCAGTTGTGATTGTTCCGAAGTTTCAGGATCAGCCTTTTTCACAGGCAATATAGTACCTTACCTGTTAGGTGAGATCCTGACACCTGTAATCAGGGAATTACTTCATTTCACGTATACTAAAAGCATAAGAAGACCTTTGGCATACTAAAATATGTTGATGTTTCAAACAGTTCAGAGAAAGGTCTTTTGATGCTTAGGGAAGGTCAGACAGCTGATCAGATAGATCTTACCAGGGAAGCATTCATCCTTGCTATATAGTGCTCAATAAATATTCGTTGTATGTAGTAAACTGCTGATACCCCTCCCAAATTTCCTTTACTGGATCCTTCTTACTGCTGTGAGTGATGGCTGCTAAATGAGCTATGTGTACAAAATCCTGGCCCTTTTGCCTCAAGGTAGGATCAACTCTATGGTACAATTCATGCTCCACAGCTCTCCATAAGATCAGGCTGAAGCTCCAAATAAGACCACATCTTATCATTTACCTTCCCTGCCCTATCCTGCTTCCTTCATTGCCTTTCTCCTAATAGTACTCTCCCAATAAATTATGCACTCAAATCCTGTTTCAGGGTCTGCTCCTAGGGAAACAGACCTAAGACACTGCATGAATAAAACTATAAAAATTCATCCATGTCCATGACAATGTTATAATGCAAGCAAAGATATAGAAAATGATGACATGAAATCAGAGAGAGCAGAAGGGCCACATGGAGAGAATGCTTTTCTTGAGTGAAAAAAACCAAAAACCAAAAAACCGGCAGAGGCAACTTCAAACCATCTTAGTGGCAAATGTCCCTGGCCATGTAGTTAGTAAGACTATGTTATCTAGAGTCTGGACTTAGAGCAGTTCCAGATCAAAGGCTAAGAATTCTTTGCTGTTGGCATTAAGGTTTCTGGGACCTGGAGGTGGCTGCTTTGATAAGGACTACTGGAGAAACAGGTGGCATGGGATTTCAGGTAGAACAGCCACAGTACCTTGGTGATAAGGAATAAGGAGTCCAACAGAAGTGCTTCCAGAGCTGCAGTGATCCCTTTCGTTAGGAGTGACTGGATATTATACCTGAACCCACTTAGTATTATATACAGATGACTAGCTATACATGATATTTGTATACATAATTATACAGCCATTCTTGATCAATTCTTAATCAAGTTTACCTCACAAGACTTGTTCTTGGCGGAAGCAAGTTACACAGTATTCTGGTAATCTATTGCTGTGTAACAAATTTAGTGCCTTAAAAAGTACTTATTTATTTTGCTCATGTACCTGTAATTTGGGGTGGGTTCAGCA